TTTGTTGCGCTTTAAGCTCCGCCTATTAGCAGTGGGACTATCACACCCACTTTTCTTCTGGTTGTTGTGGGGGATTTTTTTCTTTGTGTGTTTTGTTTCTTATATGCTATTGTTGATGTAGAGCGGCTGTGAGCTGGAAGTGAATCATTGCAAAGTGACTAAGGATGTGCACAGTGAAACCTCCTCAGATGCTGTACAGTGAACCTCCATTTATTGCGGGCGATATGTTACAGACCGACTCACAATAGCTGACAATTTGCGATACAGAGAACACATCATTTAAAAAATGAAAGTAGTTTTAAAGCTCAATTTTACAGCTTTTGGCTCAGAAACCCATGCAAACACGTTTTTCTATTGCCGATGACCAAAGAACTGAAAAAGCTATAAACTTTTTTTTTCTTTAAAATGGCTAGCGATATGTGGAATTGAAAGCAGCTGTGTGTTAAATTTATTACAACTTATTAAATTCCACTTTTAAAAGTATTCCATGGCGCCTGTTCAGAAATGAGCATAGCTGTAACAGAAATTACGACTCTCACAGGCTTTTTCTCTCTGCTCTTTAGCAACAATGACTATTACTAGAACTCAGTAGGGGACCTTCTCTGCCTCTTCTTTCTTACAATGCAATTCTTCCAGCAGACCCCCAGTGTGTTTTGGCACAACATGTTAGTACAATGAAGGCACAACTCTCAATTCAGACTTGTCGACTGTGAAAACATGGGAAAAAAATTATTCCGTATAAATTTTCAATCCAGCCGGGGCGCGAACGATGACCTGCATAATTACGGGGGTTCACTGTATTCTGCTTAATACGATTACCGAGTTAAATACCGAGTGAACAATGTTTTCATCGCTACGTCCATCCATTTGTGTGTGACGTTAACTAATGTAGACTAGTAGTACTGTATGTAGTTTCATGATGACCGTGTAACCGTTCAGCAGTAGAGCTAGTCTCCACATTGTGCATGCCTTAGTCCAGTAATCCCCTTGTAAAAAAAAAAAAAAAATGCATTCCAATGATTTGTTTTTTTATTTGTTTTTTTTTCTCACCTATACCCAAACTGCACTGCTGCCCCCATGATGCACCTCTGCTTGCTGGTTTATGTTAATGCGCTTGAACCCCATTGGCCCATTGCCATCATGTGCTCGCTGCCTGCTAATTAAGACTCAGTCGGCTGTCAAATCACTGAAGCGACCCCTCGACGCAACCTTTGACCTGGTACTATGACCTTTCACCTTTTAGCTTGGCATGTGGCTTTGTTGTAGAGCAGTGTTTTAACTAATGCTTATTTGGTCGTCTTTGTCTCGATGCAATGTCTGTTTGTTTTTTTTTTTTCCCCTTCTGTCTTCAATGTGGGCGACGAAATGACTGCGGCTCTTCCATTTAGGGTTTGGAAGGGGGATTCCAAATGAGGTCACCTCAATTACAAATTCACAAAGAGCCGCCATCAATTCGTCTCCTGTAGTGTCTCTTAACACAAAGCTAGTGAGGGTTTAGGGGAAGCCTTTTTTTAACGGTGGCATGGCTTTTTGTCCAATGTCCAAGTTGTTCAGTGTGGTGGAGCTATCGAGTGTGTGCATGAATGTGATGCTAGTGCACGTCAGGTGGGGCTAAGAGGTCTTTACTGTCTTACAGCTACACAGTGGGGGGGATCACACCCTAACAGGTGATTCAAAAGAGATGGGTCACGCCAATCAGAGCTCAAAGGTGGTCTTACGTCAAAGATACTTTTGAACTTTGGCCTGAGACCTTTTTGGACTTTTGTCTGAGCGTGAACCATCACTGAACACGGCTTCCACAGTTTATCATGGGGCTAGCAGTGCAGCCTCCCTCTCTCTCTCTCTCTGTGCTTCCCACCTCTTGTTAGCAGCTGTATTGTCGTCCTTTAATTGTGAATGCTTGCTTATTGTTGCAGTTAGTTAGCCGCAAGTACCAAGTTAATATTCCCAGTGAAGATGATAATTCATGAATGCTTACTAGCCAGTAGCTCCAGTCGGCACCATGCTCCTGCTTGTGTAGTACATGTGTCCGAGTGCTGCTTGCTTGCTACTGATGATATGATCATATTGTTGATGTACACACAAGGATGATGTAATGCTTCTCCTATGATGTCTTCTAACATATATTCCCTTTTTTTTTTTTGTTTTGTTTTGTTTTTTTGTTTTTTTTCCAACTCATCTTTTTTTTTTCCCTCCACACACTCTTATCTCTCTATCACTGACCTGCGCTCATCTGGCTGGGCAGGGTATCGCCCCCAGTGTCATGGCTCCCCTGCCAAAGCGGGCAGCCCTGGAGAAAGCCAACGGGGCCTCTGCTGTGTTTAACACCGGCATGCTCCAGTACCAACAGGCCCTGGCCAGCATGCAGTTTCAGCAGCAGGCTGCTTTCCTCCCATCAGGTATGCAAACCGCAAGCTTGCCCTCTGATCAGCGGGACGGTGCCCGGATCGGCCTAACCCGGCTCCTGCTTGGCTCCGGTTGGACAGATGGCTGTTCATAACATTCTGGACCATTTATCCAACTCGTGTGATTCATTCATTTATTTATTTATTGAAACTTTTGGATAGAGGGACATGACAAAGATAGATAGCTCAAGACGTAGCCACTGTTTGCTTTGCATTGCCACATAAAAGAAGTCACAAACCTCCTACTAGTTTTACTTATGTAAAATGGGCGATTTCCACCAAGCGGTACGGTTCACTTCAGTTCGTCACATTAAAGTTTGAATTTGGAGCCTCCTTTTATTGTAATCCACAGTTTATCTTCCCAGTCACAACATGTTTGGGATATTTGAGGATGAACCAAAACTGGACGATCACTGGGGTTGGTCATCAATTTGAAGCACAAAAGCGTGTTTTGAGTGCGCGAGAACAAGGAGCATGGATATTAACATTGCACATTAAAACAGTGCAAAATGTAGTTTTACCACCGGATATTTTGAATGATATTTTTCCTCTTCCTAGTTGTTTTATTTTAACATTTTATTTCTAATCAACGTAGTGGTTTTTATTTTATCTTAACTCGATTTATTTATTTTTTAATTGGTAAAAAAAAAAAAAAAATCAAAAATTATCATATGTACAGACAACATGCCACCCTGACTGCTGTCGCTACATTATAAAACTACATCGAGAGGTACAGGTAAAAATAAAGGTGCGAGTGTGGCTGTTTGAGAGGCTACTAGCAATGATGGCTCAATTCATTGACTCCACTCATTTTGGCAACAGAGACTGTCCACACTTCTCTTTATCGCCACGGCTACATATGAAATGATGACTATAGTCAGGTGTTAGGTAGGTTAGAAAAAAAAAACAGACAAATGTATCGAACTGAACCAAACCGTCCACGCTTGGTGGAAACGAGGCATCTGGGTTCGGATTCACAACTTTGTAAACAGCCCATAGTTTGCACATTGAAAGTGGTCACTCATATTTCATGACTGGGGCTTGTGGTGGAGCTAAGATTCTAACCGCGGTGACATCTCATGATGAGCTAACGGGCTGCAGAGTGTGGCTTCCGGACACGTTCACCCTTTTTCAAGCCTGTGTTTAGAATGTTTTGAGCCTTCTCGGGTTTTACATGTGTACCATACTTGAAAACATGACTGACCAACAGATATTAAGCTTCCCCCACCTTTCCCCCCCCCCCTCACTCTAACGAACCTTGTGACGGGCTGTTTTGATTTCTCTTCCCCTTATCCAATCCACTTCCTGTTGCATTGCATGATGGGCAGGCTCAATATTGTGCATGACCCCTGCAGCCGGCGTTGGTAGGTTCCGATTCTCCTTTTTCAGTTCTGTGTGACTTCCTGTCTGTGGCTCGCATGTGGCATCGAAATGTAACCAGTTTACCCTGAGTTGTGTTCGTTAAATGTGGCAAACTGAGCTGCTGACACCACTACAAAAGTTTTTTTTTTTCTATGCAAAAGACAAATAATTCAGTGTCGTGTTTTACCTGTCATTCACATGTCTTCACTGTGTTTAGTTCAAATGAGGTTTGATTTTGCTCTTTTGACTGTGTTGCTTGACCACTTACACTCTCGTGCCTGTTGTCAACCTCGCTTCTGGCTGGTCACACTTAAGAGTGCCTTTAACTTGAAGACACTTTTCAAACCATACCATACCGAGGGGGATCCATTTGAACCTTTCCCCCTGCTCATCTCTGCCGGAATGACTTTATGACTAAATATTACTCAGTTCAGTTTTTAGATGATTGATATTCTGTTACGGCCTGTTTACGGTCATTGATCTCAAAAGTATAACAGTATTCTTTTGTATGAATGGCAACCGGTGGATCCACGGCTTAATCTTGCCTTCTGCCATTTTATCATTTATCATTTACTCTGCTTGTTCACTATATGCCACTGGCATAGAGAGATGTACAGTCAATAAATGATAAGTTTTCCGACCATTTAACTGAAATTGGGTAATTTCCTGCCCCACAGTGATTGGGAATGACTCGCCCGGTTTATTCCTCAGACCTCAGCCACACTCTCACGGTCTGTCGGCAGAGAAACAAAAGGGACTGTGTTAAATAGAATCCCTCGAGAACTTCCTATCTGGCACTCTTTTGTCTTACCCTTCTGTTGTGTGTACGTGTGTGTGCGTGCGTCGACTCTGCTCCTCTGTATATTTTTGCTTACATGATTCTCCCCTCCAAAAAAAAGTTCCCATGATGCACGGTGGTACCCCCGTCACTGTGTCTGCAGCCACCACATCTGCCACAAGCGTTCCCTTCGCAACTGCCTCCACCAATCAGGTTTGCACCTCCACCGCCTCTCTTTCTCTTTCTCTCTCTCTCTGACTACACAAGGACGATCGAGGGATGCTCATGTCTCACAGCCAGTGGGTGGGTTGCAAAATAGACGGTGCTCCCTCTTGTTGGCCTACACTAGAGTCCGACGTGCCAACGTGTACCGGGAATACTCGTCTTTCCTTCTTGACAAAACAAATTGTGTTGCATTTTAATGTGTGTCCTCCTTGTAACTCCCGTTTTTTGTCCTTTCCTATTTTGAGGACTCTTCCTTATCAAAGTTGACTACCAACGAATACATGCAATACGTATGTATGAGGTAGTTTTTTTTTTTTTTTTTTTTAAACTCCCCCTTCCCCCTACATTCACCATTCGCACAGCTCGTGCAACAGCTGCTCTCTGTGCCCTTTGGTGCTTGGCTTTTTTTGTTGTTTTTTTTTTCTCCTTTTTAATTTTTTATTTGACATTTTTCGCTGCTGCTTCCAGCACGTAAAATTCCAGCTTTACCATGTTCCAGCCCGACAGTCTCGATATTGTTCCGGGCGCATTGTAGGCAAAGTCTGTACAACGACATCTTTGAGGAGGAGCCAGTTTTGTGCATTCTGCTGTTGAGTTGTGCAGGTCAACAACATGGAGGGCTTAAATTTGCATGGGGGAGCCAACTCACTGACCTTTCACTGCCTTAATAATAATCATTATAATAATGCCTCTCCCCTTCTTCATGCTGTCCAGATGCGCTGACTCTCTCTCTCTCAAGTGTAGCTTCTATCTTTTTGGTTTTGTTTGTTTTTCCCAGCTGAGAACTTCTCATAAAGTGACAGGATGGCGTTCCGCTGTATTTTGTGTTGGAATCGCACTCGGTTGAATCACGTGTCTGCTTTCTACCCCTCCCCAGATTCCAATAATATCTGCAGATCATCTGAGTAGTCACAAGTACTTGACTCAAATGTAGTTCCTCTCAAGAACAGTGAGTCTTTGTTTAAATCCATCACGCATACACTCACTTATAAAATATTGGGGATATTCGGCTTTTGGGTTGAAATTTCAGGATGCACAAGAACCTTGACAAGTAAACTTAATTTGACCTTCTCTAAACTTTTGCAACCGTTTCAGTACTTCTTGTACAACTTGCTTGTTTTCTAACAAGGAACCGAAGGAGAAAATTCATGGCAAGTGGGCAAAAATAATAAGTGCACTTCCCATGCGTAATGGGATGGTAATATTATGTATAAAGCTTTAAGCATATCCAAATACAGTAATAAAATGACTATATAGTCGCAGAGGTCATGCGATCAACTCATTCGCAATCTCTGCATACAGGCGCCTGATAACGATCCCGATTATTTGAATCAGATGTTGTTGGAGGAGATAAACATGGAAAAACCTGAAGAATTGTGGCCTTGGAATATGGGGGTTTTGACACCTGTAGTCTAAATCTCTCGTCGATCGCAGAGGTTACGTTCCAGACAACGCCGGCAATAAATGACGGGGTTACTGTGTGCTGCTCGTCCAAAGCATATTCCTACTCCTGAAATCCTGATTGAAATTCCATTCGGGTTCGGCTTGTTTTTTTTTTTTTTTTTCCGACCGAGATATTTATATGGAGCATTTTCATTTGGATTGGGTTTCTAACCTGATGGGGATGTGAGTTTTGGTGTCCTAGTTATAGAACAGCATGTGCAAAAAGCACTGAAACGTTGGGCATAAATTCCAGAAGACAGAAAGTCAAATTAAATTCACCTATCGGTGTTGTTATGCATTTTAAGTTCATCCTGAAATCTAGCCACAAAGCCACATATCCTTATCTTTTTGACAGTCATGTTGGTCTTTTTTTTCCTGTTCATTTGTACCCTCCTGTGTTTCTTCCTGTGAAAATCTCCAAAAGGTATATCTAATGCCCAACTCCTCTTTCCTCCCCTTCCAGATCAAATGAATGTGTGCTGGCACCGTCCGAGCCAAAACAGTTCAGCCTTTATTTCCATACAACTTTAAGAATGTCAAGCAATGGCACCGAGGAGGGTCTACCATCTGTCAAAACATCCAGGGTGCTACCCGTGCCATCTGCCCACATGTAAAAAGCTGAGAGAGAAGAGGCCATCTTGGTGCCTGGGGGGGAGGGATGAGGGAAGGGGGAGGGGGAGGTCAGTGGGTCTCATCACACCGCTGTACATCTAAATCATGGCTCTCGATTGGTTGTAATTCACTTCACCGGACGCGGAGAAGGTCAAAGAGTGACGTTGCGTGAGTCTAAAAGTACACCTCTGGTACGTCAGGCGACCAAGATTTCTTTTATTCCTTTTTTTGGTTTTGTTTTAATTAATCAGCCATATTTCGTCGTTTACAAAAAAAAAAGAAAGAAAAAAAACAACAAAAAAAAAAGACATGCACCTTGAATTTGAATCGAAACGAGAAAGGCACAGCCATTTTGAAACAGGAAATCTGCTAAGGCGATTGAGCACATGCAGTATTGTGTGTGTGCGTGTGTTTGTGTGCGCGCGCGACTAGTCAAACTAGACTCGGATGGATGAATAAATGAGGGTTGTGGACATATGAATGTTGTGGGTAAACCAACATACCTGTGTACCTTGAAAGCACAGCCAGGCTTGCTCTTCTCACCTTGTCACGTGCCATGGAGGCCATACAGCTCAAACCAGAGTGTTGTCTCAGCAGTGTTATTTGTTTACCGAGGGTAAAATTGAAACGGAAAAAAAACACACAAAAAAAAATGTTGTATGGCTCTTACTATTGTTTAAGAAATGTTAATAATTTTAGAAGTGGGTTTTTGTGCTAATTTTTATGTTTTTAAATCTTTTAAGTATGACTTTTAAATGGAAACAAAATGTAGTTCCTCTTTTAATCGACTAGAGTGCTGTTTTGGTTGGGGGTTTTTTTTGCCCTCCCTTTGTCCTGTCGAGATGACGTTGTCGCTCAAGTCCATCGACTCTAAAGCCTCTCGAATAGGAGTGTGTTGCTTAAGCTGACTTGTTGTTACCTTGTCCTCTTTTAAAGAGTTGCTCTGTTCAAGAAACTCTGTCGAGCCGCGCGCTAATAGCAATGTAAGACAATAAGGTCTGTTCGGTCATTGTAACAAAAACAACAACAACAAAAAAAGTACACTTCAGTGATTGTTTATCTGAGTCACATGTCATAGACAGCAGCGATTCCCAACACCCAAGTGCTCATTTAGCTTCCAAAAAAAACTTATTTATTACGCAGTCATTGATTCAAATGTTACGTACGTGTTGCCATGCGGAATAGACAGTTAGGCCTTCAGGAGATTTAATATGTTTGTCCTCAAGCTATTTCGACACTTCAATTTGGTTGATGATGCGTACAAACAGACTATGAAAAAAAAAATACTGTCGTGACCATATTTGGGCATGCAGGGTTTCTCGACCCACACACGACGATGTGAAAAATCTCTTGGCACACCACCAAACCAAAATCTCACCAAAACAAAAACCAAAAAAAACTCGTCTCATTTTACTAACAAATTGACTTCTTCAGCATAAATTCTGGGTCAGTTTAGTTACTTTTTTATTGCTCTTCCTGTCACTATAGTCACACAAAGTAGATGAAAAAAGGTCCTTTTTTTAAAAAAAAAAAATCATTTTCAGACTGATGAAGTCAACTTTCTCGCGGCCCACTCGATGATCTCTTACAACACAGTGTTGGGAATCACTGCCTCTAGCCAAAAACACACACAAAGGGATTCAGACCCCCCCCCCCCACCCTCCTCCCCAGAAGGCTTAACTTCAAAATCGCAGAAGCCAAAAAAAGTCGTTACAGCGTCTCTCGTCGAGGAATCATTTTGGTTCACGCGAGTTTGTGTTCGTACCGCAGTTGTGTTCATCTGACCGTTGTGTTGCCACAGAGGTGTGACCGCGCGTCTCTAGCGATTGTATCGTACCTAACAAAGCCTTAGATGACCATGAATTGGGTCACGGCCCAAACTTGTCAATCACCATGCAGGTAAAGAGCACCAATGATGTTTTCTAGTTATCTCACCACGCCGCTTGCGATACGTTTGTGCTTTCTCTTTCTCGATGTAACGATTCTTCTCTTTGAAAATCCATTTAAGAGCTTTTATGTACTACTTAAGGATTTGAATCTCTTTGAGATGCGTAGTTGTAGATTTTTTTTTTTTTTGCCTTACTATATAACCATATTACTTGACAGCATCGATATAGCCGTTGTAGATTTTGAGGTTGTATGACATTCATAATTTTTTTTTTCAAACCATTTATAAATGATAACGTTTTAAATATTCACGTCATTCATATAGCTGGATGTCTTTTTTTTTCCAGTTGGTGTTACATGATATGTTTGTTTTGATATGTGCAACATGTGGAATTAGTTTTGCTGGGATCGCAGCAACAACCGTTTTCCATGTCGGCGTGTCAAGATCATGTTTGAATATATGTTGTATCAATCTATAGGTTGTCCATGTTTTAGGGTAAACATAGTTTTCTACTGTATCCATTTCAAAGAAAAAAAAATATGTGGTTTGGTTGGAAATATTTCTTAAATTTGCCCTGAATGTCAGGCCAAAATGAGCAGTTGAGATTTTGGGGTGTTTGGATATTATTATTGTTATTATTGTTATTGTTTGTTTATTTTTATTTTTTTCCGGGTTGGGGGGGAGGGGTGGCTGGCGTGAATCGGAGAGAAGACTTGCCCCTGCTGGTGAAGTCAGAAATGCTGCAGATGATGAGTTCTAACCTAAGGGACGAAGGTTGTGACTTTTTGCACTTCTGTATATAGTAAATAAACAGAGACAAATGTGTATCATATTGAGATTATTTTGAATAATGAAAAAAAAAAGATCTATAATTATAAGAAATTTTGTTAGATTAATTTAAATTCATAAATTAGATGACCAGCTAAAATTGCTTGCAAAGAAGGGCACTAGTTTCTTGGCCGATGCATTTGGAGAAAGCTATGCGCTTTTTTGTCTTCTTTTATCAGTGGCTAGTTTTGCCTGGGAATGTTTTTTTGGGGGGGGGGAATAATGGTCCCCCTGTCCTGCTTAATCCACCCCTTCGAATGATCACATTATTTCATTTGTTGGCCACATCACTGCTCCCACAACTCTCACTTGATCCAGAAAAATAAGAAAACATAAAAAAAAAATCTATATATTGTATTCCATTATGATTTGACTGCATGTAAAACCACGTAAACAAAAACATAGCAATGTAAGGAAAGTTTTTCACAATAATCCGTACAGTAGATAACATCCACAGTGGGGGGGGAGAGAGAGAGAGAGAGACAACCCTTTTCCCCAACAACTCATCTTACGCTTGTGTGATGAAATAGTTTCTGAGCAAATATGTTATTTCAAGAATACTGAAAATATGAGCACTCATCCAACCCAAATACTTTTTCCAGAGCCATATACGATATATATTTCCAGTCGACTCACAGCAAGTTGTGTTATGCTCTGCTCTCCAGACTGTGCGCTCAGCAGGTGAAGGCCGGCCATGCCAAATGCACATTTGGGCAAAGTCTTGAACATGAATGTAAAGCGGCTGCTGTATTGTTGCTACAGAACCAAAGCACCAGATTCTCAAAAACCAGACGTTCAGTCCGTCTCTTCCCTGCTGGGGGCACACACACACACACACACACACCACGCCAATGCTTTTTGCCCGCTTTTTACTTGTAAGTGCAACTACCACTTATGTATTCGCTAAACAGTTGCTACAAGATGATGTCTTATTTGTTTATGCACACTTGATTGTTGCCATAATTGACTCTTATCTGTCTGGATGAAAAAATAAATAAATAAAAAAGGATTTGATTTGCTCATGCAACACGCGTGCGTCTTTCGTTTTTCGATGCGGAGGCAGCCTGTGCTCCGACGTCAGGCGCATGTGAGCGGCATCACACGCTGCCTTCGGGGGTGACCTGGTGACATTCATTCCGGAACAGCTCCATTGAGGCTCATGTGTGACAGATGTGGAAGGGTACGCCGATGGTGCCCACGAGACCGCCGGTGTTGTTATCTGGGTCACGACTGAAAATGACAATAAATGAACCCACTGGTGTGTAACATGTTAAGCAGAAGACAATAATTACCCCCCAACCCCCCATGTATTTAGGTTTTTCTTCAGCAATTGAACGGCACGCTCAATCGGATTCAGGTCAGGTGAGCATGACTTGGCTATGGGTTATTGTCCATCTGCACTGTGAAGCGCCGTCCAATATGTTCTAAAGCATTTGGCCGAAAATGTGCGGATAACATTGTCCGAAACACTTTTTGGCACTCCTTTTGTCAGCACTCCTGTCATCAATAAATACAAACGAACCAGTTGCATTGGCCCACCGGGCCACGGACCAGCTCAGCAGCCAATTTCCCATTTACTTTTTATTTTCATTTCAAATCTATTGTGGTACTCCCAGAACTTAGGGACCTGAATGTAAGTAAAAACATCTTGTTTTGGAGCAAACAACTTGCTTGCTTGCTTTATTACCTACCCAATTTCACCATTCAGACCCAGACGCCCTCTAGTTCTCTCCAAGAAGCTGAATGATATTCAATGCATATAGAGTGGCTTTTTTGCACCACATCCGTGAAATTATATGCAAGAACAAAATACGTTAAAAAACGCAGAATGCCAATGAACACATTTTCTCACCTATCTATCGCACTATTCCCACACACAGTCACACCTTAAAATTGAGTAATGATAAATAAATCCGCTCTCACAGGGTGTGAATTATTATCTCTCTTGCATGCTACGTACTGAGTGAATATGAATATGAATCTAAAATATACACGATCGATCAACATTATGATCAAGTTGTTTTATATACAGAATACTATGAATGTTTTTCCCCTCATAACCCAGAGACGGGTGCTACTGTCCAGACATGTCCGCAGTGGTGATGGGCATGTCTGGACAATGGTCCCCCTCCCGTGCCTGCACTGTAGTCAATAGTGGTGTGTGATCCTACATACTTTAGCATCTCCGATACAAAGTTTTTTTAAAAAAAGTCAGTATCGTTAATATAGATGCTGATACAGATACTTTTCTATTATTAAATTTTTATTATTTTATTCATTAATATTATTATGAAATTGCTAAATGGTGTTTTTATGTTTCCTGTTATTTATGTTGTTTGATTACTTGGAGTTATTTTCCAAATACAATGTGGGTTCAGTCGTTCCAATGCAAAAATAAAACATTTTTCCCTGAGTGCATTTCTTTTCCCTTTATGACAAAACAAACAACAAAATCAAAAACAACCAAGACGAACCGGCGAAAATATTAACAGGAGCGTGAAATGGGGAGTAAACATTTTTGACTGGGCTATGTCGTTCAAACATACTTAGTTGTTTGAACATATTGATAAAGTCATTCAAACGTATTGACAACGTTGTTTGAACGTATTGGTAAAATGTAGACTAAATAATGCTAAACACATTTTTCTCATAAAGCCACGGAGCACCCCGTGGCATGAAATTACTCGATCCGAAATTGATACCGACTCGGTACCGATCCGCGCAACCCTTGAAGTCAGGGCGGAAATGCTTTCCACGTCTTTTGCTTCGTTCTCGGGGGTGACGTCTCCTTTAAGAAAGCGGAAGTGAGGCTGTGGGCTGTTGACGCGCTGAGGATATGGGCAGGAAATGCCATTCAAAGCGAGCAGAAGCGTGATCGCTTCTCCGGCTCCTCGGCGCACTTGCACAATCGACGTACCTCCGAAAATGCGCCTGGCTTGACGCCGCTGCCGCCAGCGTCCAGGGAGCGGCCACTCTCCCGCGGGGTCGCGCGCTCGGTGTGATTCTCTCTTGCGAGTCCGGGCGAGGAGGCAGCCTTCCCGGCCTGCTCGCCTCGAAGGCTTCGTCGAGGGACACAAAAAGGAGGTATTTGGCTATTTCCTCTTTCTCTCCATTTGGCCATGAGGGAATACAAAGTGGTTGTTTTGGGCTCGGGCGGAGTCGGGAAATCGGCTCTGACCGTCCAGTTCGTGACGGGCTCCTTCATCGAGAAGTACGACCCCACCATCGAAGACTTCTACCGGAAGGAGATTGAGGTGGACTCGTCCCCGTCCGTGTTGGAGATCCTGGACACGGCCGGCACCGAGCAGTTTGCCTCCATGCGGGATCTGTACATCAAGAACGGACAGGGCTTCATCCTGGTCTACAGTCTGGTCAACCAGCAGAGCTTCCAGGATATCAAGCCCATGAGGGACCAGATCATCCGGGTGAAGCGGTACGAGAGGGTGCCCATGATCCTGGTGGGCAACAAGGTGGACCTGGAGGCCGAGAGAGAGGTTTCTTCTGGGGAAGGCAAGGCGCTGGCCCAGGACTGGAACTGCCCCTTTATGGAGACATCGGCCAAAAACAAAGGCTCTGTGGATGAACTGTTTGCAGAAATTGTCAGACAGATGAACTACTCCACTGTTCCTGCAGGAGGTGACCAGTGTTGTTCTTGTGTTTTGCTCTAAAAACAAAACAAAACAAAACACACAATCAGATAGTTGTGCTTTTTAAATCATGCCTTTTTACTTTTCAAGTATCTCTACTCACACTGTTGTCTTATGGTTTCGCACAAATGGACGAAAATCAGCGTTGAGGCTTCGCACAAGTGGATGAAAATCGGCGATGCGTAATGGTAAAGGTTACAAAGGGTGCACAATATTTTGGAAATATTAGTGGAAGCGTTCAATCGATCATTTCATCGAAAGGCTTTTTTTCCCCTTTTGTTTTAAATATCATCGCCCTCGTAAAATAACAGCCAAAGTCATATTTTGACAAATAAATATTGTTTTGCTTTAAACATCTCATCAAGCTGGCCTCCTGCTAAAATCGGCTACATCTTTTGGTGAAACAGAACGTTCAATTTTACCCCAGAACTGAAATTATTAGTAAATATAATATCAAGAGAATTTAGTTCCGATTTTCATTTTTTCTGAAAAGACTGAAAACATGACTTCGGCCATTACATAAGGAAAATAATGAACATATATTTTTTTTTCAGGCAGACATACATTTTATAGCAGCATTTTTTTGTCAAATATAATTGTTATGGTTGTTTTTTTTTTTTGTTTGTTTGTTTTTTTTTAAATAACCCCCAATGCGTTTCAGTGGGTGTCACTGATGTGCGGATTTCCGCTATTTGTGGCCCGACGGGTTCCTATCACTGTAAATCGGATCCCGTATGTGTGTGCATTACAGTTCCTTACATGCTCCTCAAATTTTTGCTGGCAACACAAAGCAGAAAAAAAAAACGGAGCAAGTCTCATATTGTCGAGATCACAAGTTGAAAAAAATTAAAAATCACGCTACTTGAAATGTGGATTATGCTCAAAATGTTTTCCTTAACTAGTGTGGCCACCCCACGATCATCTGCAAACAGTGAAAATCCGCAAATGATGGACGCTGACTGATAATAGCCATGATTTTTTATTTTTTTTTTTATTTTGCGGAATATTGAAAATCCCTATTAAGAGCCAACCTTTTAAGGTTTCTTCATTCTTTCCATTTATCCCTGTAAATTTTCGTGAACTCTCATCGAAAGTTTCTAACTTAGAAAATTCACAGAACTTTGCAACCTTAATAGTCTGGAAATGTGTTTACATGGTAAAGTACTTGAATGTTTTTTGGGATTTTTTTTTCTTCTTCCAAATATAGCTTTCTTTGTACAATATTGACACTTCTCTGGAAATGTGCCTCAGTGGGAATGTGTTTCGCACAAATGGACGAAAATCAGCGTTGAGGCTTCGCACAAGTGGATGAAAATCGGCGATGCGTAATGGTAAAGGTTACAAAGGGTGCACAATATTTTGGAAATATTAGTGGAAGCGTTCAATCGATCATTTCATCGAAAGGCTTTTTTTCCCCTTTTGTTTTAAATATCATCGCCCTCGTAAAATAACAGCCAAAGTCATATTTTGACAAATAAATATTGTTTTGCTTTAAACATCTCATCAAGCTGGCCTCCTGCTAAAATCGGCTACATCTTTGGTGAAACAGAACGTTCAATTTTACCCCAGAACTGAAATTATTAGTAAATATAATATCAAGAGAATTTAGTTCCGATTTTCATTTTTTCTGAAAAGACTGAAAACATGACTTCGGCCATTACATAAGGAAAATAATGAACATATATTTTTTTTTCAGGCAGACATACATTTTATAGCAGCATTTTTTTGTCAAATATAATTGTTATGGTTGTTTTTTTTTGTTTGTTTTTTTTTTTTTTAAATAACCCCCAATGCGTTTCAGTGGGTGTCACTGATGTGCGGATTTCCGCTATTTGTGGCCCGACGGGTTCCTATCACTGTAAATCGGATCCCGTATGTGTGTGCATTACAGTTCCTTACATGCTCCTCAAATTTTTGCTGGCAACACAAAGCAGAAAAAAAAAACGGAGCAAGTCTCATATTGTCGAGATCACAAGTTGAAAAAAATTAAAAATCACGCTACTTGAAATGTGGATTATGCTCAAAATGTTTTCCTTAACTAGTGTGGCCACCCCACGATCATCTGCAAACAGTGAAAATCCGCAAATGATGGACGCTGACTGATAATAGCCATGATTTTTTATTTTTTTTTTTATTTTGCGGAATATTGAAAATCCCTATTAAGAGCCAACCTTTTAAGGTTTCTTCATTCTTTCCATTTATCCCTGTAAATTTTCGTGAACTCTCATCGAAAGTTTCTAACTTAGAAAATTCACAGAACTTTGCAACCTTAATAGTCTGGAAATGTGTTTACATGGTAAAGTACTTGAATGTTTTTTGGGATTTTTTTTTCTTCTTCCAAATATAGCTTTCTTTGTACAATATTGACACTTCTCTGGAAATGTGCCTCAGTGGGAATGTCTTATCGTGAAACCTAAGAAGACTTTTTTTTTTTTTTTTTTTTTTTCTTATGTACTGTTTTAATAATCTCTTGTGCTCAGTGGTGGAGTCAGTGTTATGTCGGTCACTTTTAAGATAATTTTTAGGGGGCAGAAAATGAGGTGTGAAAGTCTGTAAGAGTCACTGGACTAGGGATGGGCATTTTGACATTTTGGGAAAATGTTTTCGTGAGCCTCAACATAATTGCCTCAGTCATTTTTAAACGTTTTCGGAAAACAAACCATTACAAAAAACTAATTCAACAAACCAGAAGACTCCATTTACCTTGACTTGACCTCTTGCCCAAGGTCAACAGCTCCAGCGCGCCTGTGCCAGAGAAAAATGGATGAATGTGATTAAGTCAATCATCCAATCCACACAAATGAATTATGCTCATCCCTAGTGCAAATATTTCTATGGATTTCGTTATTTCGAACGTTTCCGAGATCTCGGAAGTGTGTTAACAGTGGAACTTGGATTTCGTGCACAAGGACCTTAAGTGCGTTGCTGTCGCTGCATGCGGTCCCGTCATGTCACGTTGACCGCATGTTAAGTGCCTTCCTTGTGACTGTGCCAAGTGACGAGCCCTCTTTCCTCTGCAGTGCGTCTCCATGGCAATCAGAACTTTTTTTGTTTGTTTGTTTTCCTTATTTTTTTTTAAGCAGTTAGTTTCCAAGTTTTCCCAATCAGGCCCAATGTCGAGGTACTGCGGCGAAGAAGCCTTGAAGCGATGGTGTTCACTTGTTCAGTTTTTTCCTTGAAGATGTGATGAGAACTTTTTAATGTGATGATTTTACCTTTGGACAAAATCTGTGATGAACCTTGTCAGTTTTGAAACTTGTAATACAAAAAAAAAAAAAAAGGCATTTTATGTACTGATGAGTGTTGTGCTTGTCTCACTGAATGCAAATTATACTCACTGGGTGATTTATTGGGTACAATTCAAGGCTAGCCACTGTGACAGCTTTGGTTGGTGGTATTGATATTTTATATAGATTGTTTGGAGAAAAAAAAAAGTGATCTCAAAATCAATCGCACGAGCCATATGAAAAGCCTACCGAGGGATGCACATGTACTGTGTGTCTGTACTCCGACTCTGGAGGGGGAAAAACAAAACAAAAAACTCACGTCAAGCAAAGCAAAATAAGCTATTTTGTGGTGAAAAGGCCTGGAAAGAAGTGGCATCAAAGGCTTTAAATTGTGGTGATCGGAGTACGACGACGCAAGATGCTAATGCTAATCGACCCGCCAAAACGTCTGCCATCAATAGAGAACATTGATTTTTTTTTTTTTTTTTTTTGTGATGTTCATAAACATAGAACACAGCAACAATTTGCCCGTAGGAGCTTTAACGTCGCTGTAGGCGCGGGTGTGTCATATCCACCTAATGTTTACATCTATGCTAATGACGGTGAAGCCGCTCAATTCCCAGAACGCGTTGCGTGGCGCAATAGATTCAATTAATGGCATTGCAAAGATGTTAATCCTTGTCATGTGTGCTTGGTTATATGTAAAATTGTGACATCCAGGTGATGAAGTCCTACGAAGGCATTAATGTAAACCTCATAAACATACATATCCTTTCGAGAAAATGCATGTTAATGGGTACGGTGACTGGTATCGGCTGCCGTTGTGAGTGTTCGATACCGATATCTGGGATCGGTAGTAACCCATCCCTACTTAATATAAACTGTGGCGCACCTTTGAATACGATGGCGTGAAATTTCGGGATTAGCCTAAAATGCACTAAAACGTAAATACCTAATGTTAACCGTAAGTTTATCCCGCCAGTTGTTTCTTTGATTTTCTCATGGCCTGCTCAATGTTGAAATCGGCCTTTAGCATTTGTGACATGCGAATTAATAAGTTCCACCGCGTTCACTTTGTTTACAAGGCAAATAAATGAGCGAGGCCATCTTGGCTTGGCTCGTCCGCGTCAAACAACCCTTCATGGACTGCTTTTCCAGTAAGTGTGTTTAGCCGAGGAGAGCCTCTTCATTCTTCCCGCCGCATGTTTTCTCGGCCGAGGAGCTCAAGGACAGAGAGGCCTCTTTGTTGCGTCCGTGGCCACCGTCAATCGGCCTCACACGCTATCCGCCGACGTCTCTGGCTAAGGCCTCCTCAAAGCGGCCGTTGGGTGTCTCCCCCTCGTTGCACAGACTGGAGGTCACAGTGCCAGCGGGAATGAAAAGACACGCTTCGCACTGTGGAGAAAGCTTCGCTTCTCTCACTTCGCCAATGAAGCTTTTGTCCTCTTAACTGTCACCGTCGCCGGCGCCCCTTGTCAATGCTGCCGCTTGTCAAGACTGTATGGATTCGTACTGCAGGTCGGCTGTGTTGTCAGACACGCACCAAATGTGAGCTGCGTTATTTTGAAGGGAGAAATGTTAGCCATAGCAGATCAAAAATAAACATCATATTTAGTGGCCCAACTAGCATAATCAACAAAGTTATTTGCGAATTTAAAAATGACTTTGCCGATTGTGCTGTTAAGCACGTGGTCTGTTTATTCCTGTGGTGGGGCTGTAATATACAATGGGACTTCCAATTTCAATCTGTAACCTGACACTGAATCTACAATTGTACCCATAAGGAAAAATGGAAACCAATATGTCACCATCATAACACCTTTAACTTTTGTCAACATTAATTTGAAATCAAATTCAAATGTGACATTTTAACGCGAGTTTGAAACACTACCCGGGGTTTAAAAGATTAATTTGAAGCCTTAGCCCTGGTTTGAAACCTTTCTTTGAACCCCCAACCTTAGTTTAACACCTTACTTTGAAACCCAAACCATAGTTAAAAATCAAAACAAATGTGAAACTCTAACCTGAGTTTGAAGCCCTAGTTTGCAACTCAAACCTTAGTTAGAAACCTACTTTGAAAACCTAACCCTAGTTTGAAACCCGACCTTGAAACTTTGGTCCAGATTTTAGCAAGCATCATGAAAGTTGACTTTTTTGATTTGCTTTTGCGGGCCACATCAAATGATGTGGTGGGCCAGATCTGGCCCCCGGGCCTTGAGTTTGACACCTGTGGCATACAGGAAGTAGAGGGTGACGGTACACTTCCTGTGTTGCAAACAACTGTTAGTTCCTCTTCGGGTAGAATAAACTGTATTCATAATGTCAAATGTCGCTCCTCTTTGCAGGACATAAACTGCAGGCCGTGTCTGGCGCGTAACTCCAAGTAGGATGAGCTTCCAAACATCTCGAAGTGACATGACCGTGGGAATGAACTTTGGGATCGTGAAAAAAAAAAAAAGACAGAAGAAGGACAAGTGTTGTGAGGAAGGTTCGACCAAAGTTCATTGCGGTGGCTCTGTTGATTTGATTTGACTAGAGGCATCAGGAAGCTGGTCCCATGACTCCACCTCTGTGGTCACGACTGCTCAAGTGTCAACTGCCTGAGAAGGCAATGTGCAAAAAGATCACTTCAACCTCGCACCGCCTTCCAAAATACTGGATTTAGCACCTGACACACATTGGCAGTTGTATACCCAAGTGGCCTAATTTTTTTAGTGGATAAAGTTTTATATTTATCTCTTAAATCCTGGAAGGGTCCACGATTTTTCAATGTTCAGGTTTACAAAAAAAAAAAAAAAATGACTGCAAGGTATTATGTGATACTTCATGAGA